CAGTGAAGCTAGTACTCACCAATTCAGCTAGACTGGCTGGCCAATAGGCCCTAGGATTTTTCCCACCTCTGCCCCCCTAGGGTTGGGATTGCAGGTGCACATAGCCTTGGCCAGTGTTTTGAGTGGGTGCTAGTGTTCCAGACTCAAGCCCTCAAGCTTGCATGGCAAGCCTTTTACTGACTGGGACTTTCCCCGGGCCCAGTGCCAGTGTTTTTAAGATGGAAGCTGGACTGTGTTCAAGAGTCTGGTGTTCCATGAGCCATTCAGGGTGGAAGCCAAAGTTCTTACAACAGCTAGTAAGGCCCTTTGTTACCTGGTCCTGCTCCACTGTAGCCTCTCCTACTATTCTCTCCCTCATTCTGGGGCAGCCATACTGGCCCCTGCTCCGTCCCGCCATTTGTCAGTCTCGTACCTGTCATGCCATGTCCTTTGCCCTTTCTATGGCATTGGCATTGAAGTCCTTCTCTATTTACCCACTTGACTTACGCCCTTACCTATATCACATCTCTACTTCAGTGTTGCCTTCTCAGTGATGCCTGTTAAAAGCGGCATGCCAGCCTCTGCTGTTTCTAGTTCCTCCCACTCTGTTACTTCTCCCACCAGCCACACTAAACATGAGTCCAAGGAAGCAAGGTCTTCAGCCTGTTTTGCTCATAGCTAGAGAGAGAAAATGAGAGGAGGTGGCTTCCTAGAACATAACGTAGTAGGTGCTCAATAAACCTTTTTAAATGAGTTGCATGCCCTATTTTGTTTTGGTTGTTTATTGAATTGTTCCTTGTCTGGTTTGTTTCTTAAGTATGGAATCCTAAGAAACCTCAAAGAATCATCAATCATTTGCATCTCAGTTTGCATCCTTTGATATTCATCTATCCACCCCCAGTATAAAGCTAAGGCTAGCCTCACTGAAGAAATGGAATGGTGTTTTGACAAAAAGGCGGTTTACATCTTGAATTTAAGAAAATCAACTTCTGGTTCTTCTGTTTCATTTTTCTGAGTTCTTTTATTTTTCCAAAACTTGAACAAATAAGTTGTGTTTATCCTTTGCTCTCCATCTACATATTCTTTGAGTGTCCCCCTTGACCCTCAATCTATCCTCCAGTCTCCCTGTCTAATGAACTCAGTGGCTCTCCCCACCTCTACCTTTTCCTTAGTAGCATTGCATAACATTGCTCTGCAACCCTCTTCTTTGTGGCTTTTAAAGACTGGACTTCTCTTTTTTATTTATTGGGGTTTGTTTTGTTTTGTTGTTTTGCTCTCCTTCTCCCTCCTCCCAGTTCCCCCACTCTTTCTTCCTTTGAACCTTGTATGTATATATGTATATATGGCCATGTTTTCAAAAAAATTCAGCCATCTTTCCTTCTCTAGTTCTTCAGAAGTCTCAAGAACTTTCAGAGCACCAACTCTCAGCATTGCTTGGAAGATTCCCAAGGCTGTTGATGCTTAGCTCTTTCTGAAACTCCACTGCCTTTTTGCTGACCTGTAAAATGATGCTCCTTAGCGTGAACTGCAGGGCACGTCAGGGCACTTGTACACTGTGGTGGAGAGTGGAAAGTCAATTTTAAGTATCTACTTGTTTGGATGGATCTCAGAGTAGGGGTGGGGGATATTCCAAGGAGGACTGTATTTGTTAAGTGCCTACTAAATTCTCTGCATTCAAATACATGTATTTCTTTAATGCACTTTAGAGCACATTTTTTTTTAATTTTTAAAAGAAATTTTCTATTCGTTTTACATACCAACCACAGGTCCCCCTACCACCCCCCAGTCTTCTCCCTCCAATTCACCCCGCATTCCTATCTCCTCCAAGGCAAGGCCTCCCATGGAGGACATACTCAGTTGAGGCAGGTCCAAGCCCCTCCCCCTGCACCAAGGCTGTGCAATGTGTCCCACCATATGCAATGGGCTCCAAAAAGTCAGCTCATGCACTGGGAATGGATCCTGACCCCTCTGCCAGGGGCCCCTTAAGCAGATCAAGCTATATAACAGTCTCGCCTATGCAGAGGGCCTACTCTAGTCCCGTGGAGGCTCCACAGCTGTTGGTCCACAGTTCATGAGTTCCCACTAGTTTGGTTTGGTTGTCTCTGTACGTTTCCCCATCATGATCTTGATGCCCTTTGCTCATAGAATCCCTCTTCTCTCTCATTGACTGGACTCCTGGAGCTCAGCCTGGTGCTTGGCTGTGGATCTCTGCATCTGCTTCCATTAGTTACTGGATGAAGGCTCTATCTATGATGACAGGGTATTCACCAATCTGATTACTTGGGTAGACCAGTTCAGGCATCCTCTCCACTATTGTTAGTAGTCTAAGCTGGGGTCTAACCTTGTGGTCTAACCTTGTGGATTCCTGGAAACTTCCCTAGCACCCAGTTCCTCTCTATCCCCATGATGTCTCCCTCTGTAAAGATATCTCTTTCATTGTAGAGTGCACTTCTTAAATTAGCAATAATTATTGTCTCTCTTTGGCCTCTTTCATTTTTATACTTTGATTTCATTACTCACATTTTTATGAAATATTTGAGTTATAAGAACTCTTCAAGATGACTTAAAGGCATAAACTAATATGTGTTAGGTGATTAGTTTATTTGAAGGATACAATGAGATACAGTGCTAGACATGAAGGATTATATGGAAGAGGCCAGAATTAAAATTATCCTTAATAATGTTTTCTTAAGCTTATAACATTCTACTTCTCAACTTTTACCTCATTTACAAACTCTAAATTATTAGTCTACAGTTCTCTATTTTGAATGAATCTATAGATCATTTTGTAAATTGTTTTTTCCTTGCTCTGGACCATCAACTCATGAAGTGACAGATTGAGATGCTTTTGTTTGATGTGTATTTACCAAATATACATGAAACATCATTACGTAGACATAAGTTCCAGAAAAGCCTAAGTAAAAGTGATCAATTTTTCTAAAATGACTATCAACCATTTATACTAAATTTTGATACATTCTATTAGGATTTTATTTTATGGAAACTTTTTTATGAATAAAACTAAAACTTACAAATATAAGCATCTGTCATTGTACAGCTGACAAACTGTAAGTGGTCATCCTAAGTGTAAGAAGTTTGGATGGACAAATATTTTTCTGTCAGCATAAAGTTTTGTGGCACATATATTAAAGGACTTCACGATGGACCTCTTCTGATCTTTCAATATTCAGACTATTTGAGGAAACCTATAATAATTTTCAGGTGTTAGGGAACCTCTAGATAAAATTGTTTTATCTAAAGCAAAGCATGATAGTGTAATTATTCAGTTGTAGGTAAAACCTTATAATTATTGCCAATGGTCTTTTAAATGATGATGGTTTTCCTTTAAAATATGTTTAATTTGGCTAGTTTCTTAGCCTATTCTATTTTATATAGTTTCACCTTCCTTACAACGGATACTGAAAAAAAATTTGAGTGTTTCCTTTTTAAAAATTTCCTTGTCTGCCAGGTGGTGGTGGCGCACGCCTTTAATCCCAGCACTTGGGAGGCAGAGCCAGGCAGATCTCTGTGAGTTCGAGGCCAGCCTGGGCTACAGAGTGAGTTCCAGGAAAGGCGCAAAGCTACACAGAGAAACCCTGTCTGGAAAAACAACAAAAAAAAAAACAAAAAACAAAAAAAAATTTCCTTGTCAGCCTTTCTTATATCTACGTAAGAAGGCCTAGAAGTCTTCTCACCAGTTTCCAGGGAATGAGCACTATTGAGGTGTGGCTGTGCTGAATGCAAGGACAGAGTTCTTCCCCTGTTCCTTAAAATTAAAATAAAATTTTTGGATGAATCTTCTTTTTTCTTCTACTTCTGCTTCTTCTTTAAATTTGATTAAAATATAATCACATCATTTCTCCCCTCCATCTGTTCCCTCTAAACCACTGCCACCCTACCCCACCCCAGTGTCACTTCCATATTCTCTTTCAAACTCATGGTTTCTTTTTCAAAATTCTACTTGTTACATATATATGTAGTAAATATGTAAATGAAACCCACTGGGTCCATTTAGTATTGTTATGAGTGTGTTTTTTAGAGCTCAACATGAGATCAGATAGCCATTTAGGGCCTCATTCCTGAGGAAGGCAAATTCTCTTTCTCTCAGCAGTCCTGTCTCAGAGCCTGTAGTTCTTCATGTAGGCCTAGGGCCCCATGAACGTTCACCCATCCACATTGGCATGTCAACTGCTATTGTCATCATTCAGTTCTTGTTTAAGCATCCATGTTGTTGAGATTTAATGGTTAGTTTCCCTGTCTTATCTAGAAGATACAATCTTGCAGTTTACTTCCTGGTATTGAAAACTGATTAAGACTTTCAGGAGTGAGAGAAATGGATTACACTAATAAAGGGAAGATGGTTGGCAGGGTGGAAAGAATCAGGAAATAAATGGGCATTGCACCAATCCATGAAAATGGAAATGAGAACCAGACATGAGCTGCTGCAGTGAAAATGAAGGAATGGGGTGGATATGAGACATTTGGTATCGAGTTCTGGGTTCAAGCTGATAATGAACATATATGCAAAATTGTTATAGAATTTCCATTTCAAAAACACTAGAAATGTGGACCAGAGTGAAATACTTCAGAACTCTTGTTCAGCTGAGTTATTTTCTAAGACTGACCAGCTAATCTTTTGTGGCTTTGTACTTTAACATGATTACTGTCAGGCAATCATGAATATAGACTTAAGGGTACTAAAACTTTTGATCGTCCCCCCAAATCTAGAAAACCAGCTAGTTTGGGAAATCCTCCTCTGTTAAACATCAGCAATTATACCTTTTGTTAACAAGCAAATGCACTATGAGCTAGGCTTGCTTGCCAATTTGCAAGCTCTGTCTGAAATTCTGAGTGCTATTTCCCAAAAATTACCTCAAAGTGCATCCTGGGTCAGAAGGTAATAGTCTCTTTTAGAAACTTGTCTGTGCAGTTCCTTACTAGAGGGAAGGCTTTCTGTAGAAGCTAATATTTTCCTTTTGTTGAGATTTGAAAGTTATAAGCCTTTCTCTGCTTCTTCCCAGCCAGGTCTCTAGACAAACTTTATAACTTTGCTGATTGTTCTGGACTCCACCTGATATTTGCTCTAAATGCACTGCGTCGTAATCCCAATAACTCCTGGAACAGTTCTAGTGCCCTGAGCCTGTTGAAGTACAGTGCCAGCAAAAAGTACAACATTTCTTGGGAACTGGGTAATGGTAAGTAAGGATGTCATTTCCTATGAATTGATAAAATAAAGGGGAAAATAAGTTGGCTTGAAATAGAATCTTAGTCGGAGGCTCTCTTTAGGGGCTTGGCCCAGAAAATGATTGAAATCCTTGGCCACTGAGTTGACTGTTGTCTTTGAGTTTCTCTTACTGTGATGAAACAACATGACCAAAAGCAACTTGGGGAAGAAGAAGGGGTTTATTTGGCTTACATATCCAAAGTCACAGTCCACAGAGGGAAGCCAAGGCAGGAACTCAAACCAGGTAGGAACCTGGAGTCAGGAGTTGATAGAGAGACAGACCATGGAGGGATGCTGCTTACTAGCTTGCACTCAGCCTGCTTTCTTATGGAACCTGGGATTACCAGCCCAGGGGTGGCTCCACCCACAATGGGCTTGGCCCTCCCCCATCAATGACTAATTAATAAAATGCCCTACAGGCCTATCTACAGCATGATCTTTTGGAAGTATTTTCTCAGTTCTCTCCTCTCAAGTGACTCTAACTTGTGTCAAAAAAAAAAAAGTAGCCAGCGTAATTGTCAATATGATATAAGAACAAAATAGTTAAGGACAGTAGATTTAATTAATTCACACCACATAGGTCTCTCTGGATACCTCCTTCTAAATATTATGGAAATCACACACACACACACACACACACACACACACACACACAGAAAAGAAAAAGAAAGAAAGAAAAAATAGTATGTTGATCAATGACTAACAGTTGATGTTAAACCAGATAAAACCTGAGCTTTATAGTGTAGTGCATAGTATGGAGAACATTGGTCCTGTAATATGATCCTTATAAAATAGCTCATTGGTTCTTTGCCAGACAAATTCTTGGAGCACTACATGCATTGCACAGGTGCACTTGCTCATATTTATTGCATACTGGAATTTAAAGTTTTCTTAACAAGAAGGCAAAGGAGAAGAAAAATAAGAAATTTCATATATTTTAATGGCATCCATCAATGGAACCCAGCATTCACCTTCTTCTCTCTTCTTCTGTTCTCTCTTCCATTCCTGGAATAGAGGAAATTTAAAAAGAATTGTGGCATAAAGTAATAAAGACTTTACTAAGTCAGAAGATAAATGGTTTTCCTTTGGTCTGGCTTAGTTTGTTTGTTTTTTAAATATATTGTGCTGCATAACTAAAATTTTAAAAAAACTAGTTACAGATAAGCTAGAAAAAAATCAAAACTAGAAAAAAAAATCAAAACCCATGGGTGATTGATGGGAATACTTTTTCATAGGTTTTGAGATCTTGGAGTGTGAGAGTTTGTTCACATAAAATAAATCTTCATCTGATGTAACTGGAGCAGCTTGCTAATAAGATCTAGTGAGGAGAGAAGAGTATGCCTCTTTCTATACAGTTATCTATTACAAATTGCCCCTCCCTTCTCTTCTGTCCTTCAAACTCTCCTACATAGTTCAGAGAAGGAGTGAAGCACATTCAAAGATTGTTATTACTTGGCCACAAAACACGATTCTCACCATCGTTCTTTTAAATGCTCCTTCAGGGCATAACAACAGTAAAGGATCATTCGAAGGGAGGTAAAAAGGCACTATCGTGGATGTGAAAACAGGGATGGAGATGGGACTAGAGAAGCATAGTACCAAATTCATGAATTTAAAATGTCAACCAAGCAGAAAGAAAGCACAAGTTGGCTTGTTGTGAGTGTTTGGTGGGTTAGCTTTGACTCTCTACCCTGGACATTTTATCATGACCTTTTCTTTTCTTTACTTCTTCTCTTTTATGTTCTCTTTTCAATTATCAGACATCTCAAGTACATTCTCACTTACAAACACACCCTTCCAAGCAGGGCATGATAATTTTCAGGCTGCAAGTAAAGTTGGTAGAGAACAAATTGTGTTACTGCACATCAATTATGATCTCTTTTTGTTATTCTTTGAAATTTCATATATTCCTTTAAAATAGTTTTACTGTTGACAGTTTCATTCCCATCCTCCTAACCTGCCCATCTCAGGTTATCCTTTAGGGTTTCCAGAAGATTAGTTTGTTTTTGTTTTTGTTTTTGTTTTTGCAGTTACTGGGTACTTGTATCAGAATCTTATCTTACAAGATACCAATATACTCTGTTCACAGTTTTTGTGTTGTATATGTGTCTTTTCCCTGCTCAAAATTCTCTGCATGTTCACCATTCTTGCCTAGACTTGTTTCTCTAGTTTTCTGTCCATTTTCTTTTCTATAACCTTATCTTTTTGGACAGAATGAATGACAAGGGCTCTGGCCAATCCTTATCCCCACATCCTTCTAGCTGCCCATTCCCTCATCTCAAGAGCAAACCCAGTGTCTGAAATCCAAAGGAGGCATTTGCTCAGCCCAACTGAAAGCCAGGTAAACATTCAGCAAAATATAAATGCAGCTGGATGGATAGTACGGTAATATAACTTCTAGAGTGGCTGGTTTCAGTTATCTAAATCTACTTTTCAGTTTCTCCTTCAAAACCAAAGAATAATGAGGAGTACATGCACCAAATCAAGGCATACCTGATATCAAGAGGCAACAATTAAGAATGTGTAGGATTCAAAGGTCTAAGAAGCAAGACTTTCTTGGCACAAGATTTTTATTTTGTGGCTATGAACTGTGTGCAATGTTCAATATCCATAAATTGTAAACTTTGTAATTGATTAATCTTGAATATTATTAAGGACTAGCCTTAATAATATCCTTCCCAGGGGCTCAGAAGAGAAGCCACAAATGGCGATAATTATTTTTGGGAAAATAATCTAAATACACAGAGCTCTTTGTCTGTCTACTTTATTCCTCTGGGATAAAATTCTGTCTACACAGCTACAATTCTGTTCTCGTGCCTAGCTCCTTCTTGCCTGATTTATCTCTACATTTATCTGCTGTCCCCTCTATGTTCTATCTTAAATCTCTCATCATAGTTCTGCCCCGCCTCTTTGTCATCTCGTTCTTACCCATCTGGCTCTTCCTCATCTTTCAACTCATTCTTCTAGTACTCTCTTCTAGCCCTTCATTCTAGTTCTTCCCCATCTCAGTTCACTCCTCTCTAGTTCTTACCCATCTAGTTCCTCCATTCTCTTTTCTCTTCTCCTTCTAGTCCTCTGAAGTCTGAGGTTTACAGTTATATACCCATGCAATAGCAATGCTCTAACTAAAGCAAGGTCACCAGGCTTGAATTCTTACAGTATTATAAAGGCAGACAAGAGTTTTCCTCAGTCAGTGACCGTCAGGCTTTCTTTTATAACCCCAAATGAGAGTGGTAAGGGAGGAGGTCAACTGAGAGCTAAAATCAGTTAATATATCAGAAAAAGGGAATTTATGTGCTGAAACTACATTCCTAGAAGTGGTCAGGTAAAAATATTAGGAGTCTGTGTTAGTAAGGCTGTATAAGAAAGGAAGTTCTCAGCTTAAATTGCACAAGAAATAAAGCTATCCACCTGACCTAGGAGACAGGCATTGTTTCCATAAGGGTGTTACCTTAGTTGAGGAGATCGTTTGGCCTTGGATGCTTGATAGGTATTTTAGATAAATACACTGTTAGGAGTTCTTCAAAGCACACATAGTATACAAGAAAGTCATTGTAGAAACGAGCTAATATACATACAAAAGCTAAAATATCATCAAGACTTAAGCCATGGCTTGACCTTCAGAAAAGTCCTTGACCTTTCCAAGTAGTTTTTGTGATAGTAGCTGGATTTCATTACATTTTCCTGCAGCTTGCAGCAGTTTAATACTGGGTACTGATTATAATGGTGAACTGAGAGTAAAGAATAATAGAGAATTCCAAAGCTGGGATGCACACTGGGGAAATATAAAAGAATTTCAATTCAACTCTGCCCTAGGGAAGTAGTATTCACCTTTAGAAAACTGTATTTAACAATAAAATTTACCACAAAATAATGCACCACTTTTAATTAAATGACCATGATCCTACATTTTGAGTTGCAAATGCATTATAGAAATGCATATTTCCATAGACTAGTAAAGTCTACTCCAGTTAATTATTAAATCAATGTCATATATCTGTAGCCACACCTGGCCCGTATACAGTCACTTGTGCTCTTCTGAATTTAGCTACAGCATTCAGTTCCTTAGAGTCTATTCAGTTATTTGACAAAATTAAAACTTTGACTTTAGGAAGCTTAGCCTTTTAAAGATGATTATTATTGTCATACTTGCTACCCAGCTTTATTCATTTTTTTTTGACTAAACATTTACTTGGCTTTCAGTCAGGAATAACTGTAATGCATAAATAATATTTATACATTTTTACTCTGTATATCTGTGTATGTGATAGCTTTGCAACACCCAAACACAAATTGAACCACAATTTTTAAACCCATGTGCTCTGCAACTGAAGCCACAGTCCAGGAAGGCCAAGTACCTACTTGAGCTAGTAGCACACCTCGGTGTTGTCCATCTATTGCTTGTTTTTAGGCAAGCAAAACACGAGTTACAGGGTCATGGAGGCTTCTACCCAGATTTCAGATACAAGTCTGGAAGGCAGGCTAATGGATAGCAGGGATAGATCCTTTACAGGGGTCCCCAGAGGAGCAATGCATGAAGCAATGAGAGTGAAACTGAAGGTGGTTGGAGACCACAGGGAGTTGGAGATTCCAGGAACATGGAACATTTGCCAGGGAAAGCCAAAGGCAAGAGAAGCAGCTTAGGAGAGAGTCAGGTGGGCTGAAATTCACAAGACAGCAGGTTTGCAGGTGCCTAAGCCCTTTGAAGCTCACATGACACCACCATGTGCCTCAGGTGCTGGACATGCATCCACAGAATATAAAGGTTGCCCTACTGGATTGCAGTTTTGCTTTGGTTCCACCCCCTCCCTATACCCTCATTCTTCTCTTTGGAATTAACACTGTTTACTCTGTGCCACTGTATACCGGAAATGTTTCATTTCATCTTCTCATTTTATAGAGGCTCACAGTTAAGTGTTTATTTTGACTCTCAGTAATAAACAATAAAACAACTTTGAATTTCAACTTTTG